CTCTCGTTTCAGACTTCCTCGCAATTCAATCAGATTAGCGGAGGCCCAGCCACGACGACAGAGGCTCCTGCTCGATACTCACCCACGATTTACTCGGAGAACCCCTGGCCAGGAAGGCCCCCGAACTCAGGAACGGCGCTCTCGCTCGAGACTTTCTCCTGATTCAGTCAAACTGGCGGCGGCCCAACTACGACGACAGGGGCTCTCGTTCGATACTCCCTCCAGATGTATTCGCAAAGGCCTTTGCCAGAGAGGCCCCCGAACTCACAAGTGGCGTTCTCGCTCGAGAATTTCTCGTAATTCAGGCAAGTTGGTGGAGGCCCAGACACGGCGACAAGGGTTCCCGTTCGATATTTCTCCATATGTAATCCGAGAGCCCCTGGCCAGAGAGGCCCCCCAAACTCATGAACGTCGCTCTCGCTCGAGAGTTCCTCGAACTTCAGTCACTGGCCGACAAGGAAGATATTCCCCCCGAAAGGGGGTGCAATCGAAGACGAAGTGGGCGAGTATCGAGGGTTGGGGTATACAGAATGCAGGACACGCGTGCCAGTAAGAGCGAACAGTCTTAAACTGATTGTTGCTTTTGCTGCTGTTGTTGTTGTTGCTGTTGTTGTTGGTGTTCGTATAATGTTTGTTGTTGTTGATGTTGCTGATATTGTTGATGTTGTTGGTGTTGTTGTTGGTGTTGTTGTCGTTTTGTTGTTATGTTGTTGTTGGTTATGGTGTTGTTGTTGTTGTTGTTGTTGTCGTTGTCGTTGTTGTTCTTGTTGTTGGTGTTGTTGTTGTTGTTGTTGTTTGGCGTCGTCCCACCCGCGCCCCGCCCCGCGACCCAGCCCGCGACCCACCCGCGACCCACCCGCGACCCACCTGCGACCCACCCCACGACCCACCCGCGACCCGCCCGCGACCCACCCCGCGATCCGCCCGCGACCCACCCCGCGACCCACCCGCGACCCACCCGCGGCCCGGCCCGCGACCCACCCGCGACCCACCCGCGACCCGCCCGCGACTTTACCCGCGACCCACCCACATTGCATTAACAAAAAATCAGCGCCTGCGGCGAGCTCGTTATATAATTTATAAACGTTAAGCGCATGCGGCGTGCTTCTTCAGAGCCTAGCAGACTGCCGACGTCCCCGCCGCTCCCTCACTCTTATCCGAGACTGCGGGGTGATACTTGTGTGTATGTGTATGTGTGTGTATATATATATATATGGATCGGTACAAATCTTGAAGATTTAAAAACTGACGGGTCTAGAACCGCTGTCGTTTCACAACGCTCCAGAACGCTCCGAGAGCGCTCCAGAACGCTGTGGGGCGATGTATCCTCAGCCTGCCTTACCCTGTGACCGTTTTTGGTTCCCAAGTAACGGTCGTTACCCAGGGGGGGGGGGGCGGGAGGGAGGGTAACGGTAACGGCGGCCGCGGCGTGCACTCGCCAGGGTGCGTCCGCGCCACCTGCGCATCAATCGCCTGCGTGCACGATAGCATGTAGGGAGGAGTCCAGGCCACTCCCCCCAGCACGATCGTTGGCGTTACCTAGGGATGGGGGGGCTGTCCCAAGTAACGAGCGTTAACCTGGGGAGGAACCAAAAAACGCTCATATTCTGTGATGTGTTTAACGTTGATGCGCTTTAGTTGATACGATACTCTGCCGTGATTTCTGCTATGATACTCATCACACGCGGTTGTATTTCCGCACGCGCACGCTGGGACGCTGGGAGGCAACTCCTGCACCAGCCGCGATGCCAGCGACGCGTCCAACGAGTCCCGCAAGTGCACCTCGAAATCGAGAGCGCTAACTGGCCAGCCTGCCGAGTGCATGAAATCCAGGGCGGCTTCCCTGCCGAACAGGCCGGCGCAGTACTTTGTGTTGGCTTCCAGGTGGCCTCGCAGACCGCCCTGGCTGGGCTCCTGGCTGCGGTCCGCCGCGGAAACGTCCGTGGCCGCGCGAGCGACGCGCACGAAGCATGCGGCCTGTAAGGGGCAAAGGGCGGAGTAGACACGAACAACCACTGTGGGCCCTCTCCCCGTAGGAAACCAAGCAGGCTGCCAGCCTTGTAACAAACGAACAGATGGGGACGATAAGAGCACCAGGGCACAAACGCAAATCCCAACTTCACGATGAACGTACGCTTCTGCTTACTTCTCGAGCCTGGAAGCCAGGGAAGCAGAAGTCGCCGGCTTCTCTTCTTGCCGGTTGCGCCCCGGACAGCACTGCGTGGAAGTCCTTCGGGGGGGGGGCATGGAGAAGATACCACCGTCAGAGAGGGGAAGGGCAGAGGAAAGGACGTCGTGCCTGGAGGGAGTAGGTGTGAAGGGGGTAATCAACGCACCGTTCATGGCACGGATTTCTTGCAGTTCTCCAACCCCACATGCCATTTCGGCACCGCGTACCAGAAGGCTGCAGGAATTAGCCTGGCGAAGGACCCGAACAGTTGCAGTTGTGAGTGCCACAGTTGTGGGTATCGCATTCGGTGGAGCTCCCTATGGGCCATGAAACGCTATAATGGGCGGGGGAGACGCATGCGAATTTTGCACTGGGGCCTTCGGCGGGGAGCTCCATGTGGGGCCACGGAACGCTGTGCTGATTGGGGGGAACACATGTGGACACCGCCACGGGGGCCTTAGGTGCATCTCCGCATGGGGCCACGCAACGCTGTACTGGGTGGGGGGAACGCATGTGGACACCTCTATTGGGACCTTGATAGGTGGAGTTCCCTATGGGGCCAGGAAGCGCTGTGCTGACTGGGGAAGACGCACCTGGACACCGCCAGTGGGACATTCGGTGGAACTCGTCTGTGCTGGGTGGGGGAGACGCGCGTGGACACCGCCACCGGGGCCTCCGGTGGAGCTCCGCAGGGGGCCCGCTCCCTATGGGACCGCGAAGCGCTGTGCTGAGCGGGGAAACGCATGTGGACACCGGCACTGGGGCCTTAGGTGGAGCACCCCGTGGGGCCACGAAATACTGTACTGGGCGGGGGAGACGCATGCGAATTTGCCATGGGGGCCTTAAGTGGAGCTCCGTGTGGGGCCACGAATCGCTGTGCTGGGTGGGGGAGACGCACGTGGACACCGCCACGGGGGCCTCGGGTGGAGCCCCGCAGGGGGTCACGAAACGCCGTGCTGGGTGGGGGAGACGCATGTGGACACCGCCATTGGGGCCTTAGGTGGAGCTCCCTATGGGACCGCGGAGCGCCGTGCTGAGCGGGCGAAGCGCATGTGGACACCGCCACTGGGGCCTTAGGTGGACCTCCCCGTGGGGCCACGAAACGCCATGCTGGGTGGGGGAGACAAAAGCAGGGATGGGAGGAAGGAGGCGGGGGTGGAGGAGGAAAAGAGGAGACGCGGGGACTGCGACGTCAAAGCAACAAGTCGGTTGGGAAATTAGCCCGGCAAAGAAACCAACCGCGCGCAGTCGTGAGCGCCGCAATTGTGGATGTCGTCTACGGAAGCGCCCCGCACGGGGCCACGAACCGCGCTAGGGGCGCGCCGAGATGCGCGGTGGGGAACGCAACGCGAAAGAGACGATAGGTCTGAGTACGAGAAACTGAGCGCGGGCGAGTCTGAGCGCGAGTAAGTCTGATTGTGAACGCGTCTGCGGTCGAGCGAGTCCACGCGTGAATGCGCGAGGGACTAGGCATAATGAATACATGTAAACGTGCACGGTTCGAACGCTGCTGAATCTGAATGCTCGCGACACTGAGCGCGCCCGCCGCAGGGGTTCCCCTGGAAACCCCGACTGAGGCAGCGAAACGCTGTGCTAGGCGTGGGAGACGCATGCGAACTGCGCCACTGGGACCTTCGGTGGAGCTCGGCTGTGCTTGGTGGGGGAGACGCACGTGGGCGCCGCCAGGGGGGCCTCCGGCGGGGCTCTGCAGGGGGCCACGAAGCGCTATGCTGGGTGGGGGAGGCGCACGTGGACACCGCCATTGGGGCCTTAGGTGGAGCTCCCCACGGGACCGCGAAGCGCTGTGCTGAGCGGGGGAACCGCATCTGGACACCGCCGCTGCAGCCTTAAGTGTAACTCCCTATGGGCCACGAAATGCCATGTTGGGCGGAAGAGACGCATACAAACCTTGCCATGGGGGCCTTAATGGGGAGCTCAGCGTGGGGCCACGAGTCGCCGTGCTGGGTGGGGGAGACGCGCGTGGACCCCGCCGCGGGGGCCTCGGGTGGAGCCCCGCAGGGGGTCACGAAACGCCGTGCTGGGTGGGGGAGACGCATGTGGACACCGCCATTGGGGCCTTAGGTGGAGCTCCCTATGGGACCGCGGAGCGCCGTGCTGAGCGGGCGAAGCGCATGTGGACACCGCCACTGGGGCTTTAGGTGGACCTCCCCGTGGGGCCACGAAACGCCATGCTGGGTGGGGGAGACAAAAGCAGGGATGGGAGGAAGGAGGCGGGGGGGGAGGAGGAAAAGAGGAGACGCGGGGACTGCGACGTCAAAGCAACAAGTCGGTTGGGAAATTAGCCCGGCAAAGAAACCAACCGAGCGCAGTCGTGGACATCGTCTTCGACGGCGCCCCACACGGGGCCGCGGACCGCGCGAGGGGCGCGCCGAGATGCGCGGCGGGGAACGCAAGGCGAAAGAGACGATAGGTCCGAGTAAGAGAAGCTGAGCGCGGGCGAGTCTGAGCGCGAGTAAGTCTGATTGTGAACGCGTCTGCGGTCGAGCGAGTCCACGCGCGTGAATGCGCGCGTGACTAGGCATAATGAATACATATGAACGCGCACGGTTCGAACGCTGCTGAATCTGAGTGCAAGCGAAACTGAGCGCGCCCGCCGCAGGGGCATCCCCTGGAAACCCCGACTGCGGCGCCCGCGCGCCACGACGCCCGCCTTGGCGCGCCCCTTGCGAAGATCGGGCCCGCCGCTCCCTTCCTTTTTGTTTGTTCTCTCTCTCTCTCTCTCTTTTTTTTTTTTTCTTTCTCTCTCTCTCTCTTTCTCTCTCTCTCTCTCTCTCTCTCTCTCTCTCTTTATATATATATTTAGTTTGTTTGTTTGTTCTCTCTCTCTCTCTCTCTCTCTCCCTCTCTCCCTCTCTCTCTTTCTCTCTCTCTTTCTCTCTCTCTCTCTCTCTCTCACTGTTGTTTTTTGTCTCTCTCTCTCTCTCTCTATTTCTTTCTCTCTCGCCCTCTCTCTCTCTCTCTTTTTTTTTTTTGTCTCTCTCTCTCTCTCTCTCTCTCTCTCTCTCTCTCTCTCTCTCTCTCGCAGTCTGTCTCCGTGCCCGCGCGCGCCAACGTCCCTGGCTGCGGGCGCAGCGCAGCGCGGAGCCCCCGCGGCGCGCGCCGGTCGCCCTGAAAGGGCCCCAGCGACGCGCGTGGGTCGCCAGCTGCGCAGAGCGGAGAATACGAGTTGGCGGTCTGATAGCGGGCAAGGCTCTGGTCGCTGGCAGAGCGAAACGCTCGGCAGAGCGCGGCGCGGAGTTCCCGCGACGCGCGCTGGTCGCCCCGAGAGGGCCCCAGCGACGCGCGCAGGTCGTCCGCGGCGCGCAGGCGCGGCTCGGGCGGGCCGCTCCTCAGGTCAGGATTCGCGGATAAACTCGGTGAAGCCCAAGTCCCTGACGAGGGGCGTCGCCCCCCTCCCGCGCCGCCTCGCGCGCGTCGCCAACTGCTCAAGCTGCTTCCGCGCGCCCTCTGGCGGCCCCGCCAGGGAGAACTCGACGCGCGGCGCCGGCGCGAGCAGGCGGTCCTCGTGGCGCGTGGCGCGCGAGAGCAGCGCGTAAAGCTCCAGTCGCCAGTCGTCGTCCACCTTCTTGCCGTTCCCGACCTCGTGGCGGCCGCGGTCAAGGGTCACGCCCGGGCGATGTCGGACGAGCGGCGGCGATCCTTCGGAACGCCACCACTGGGGCCTTCGGCGGAGCTCTCTATGCAGAGGCCACGAAGCGTGGGAGTGGCGCGCCGACGTGGATGGCGGGGGCGCATGCGGGCGGCGGTGCTGGGACCTTCGGTGGGCCCCCCTATCAGGCCGCAAAGCGCGTGAAGGGTGCGCCGAAATAGGTGCGACGGCCCTGGGGCCTTCGATGGAGCTCCCCACGGGGCCACGAAGCGCTGTGCTGGGTGGGGTGGGGTGGGGGTGGGGGGGGGGTAAGGTCAAACTATGGTTCTATTTAACAATGTGCTGTTTTTGGTTTTTCGGTGTTATTTCTTTCGCTTTGCTTACATCTGTAATTTCTTATTCTTGCGATGGCGCTGGGTGGTGAGAGTTTCCTTTTGTGGCGGATTACAAATTGATTTCTTTTGTGAAGGATTACAAATTGATTCCTTTTGTGGTGGATTACAAATTGATTCCCTTTGTGGAGGATTACAAATCAATTCCCTTTGTTGCGGATTACACAGGGATTCCTTTCGTGGGGAATTACAAATTGATTCCTTTTGTAGCGGATTGCAAATTGATTCCTTTTGTGGCGGATCACAAATTGATTTCCTTTGTGGAGGATTCTTAGGAAGAAACCAGAGATATAAAAAATATATATGAAAACCAATGAAAAGTATGAAAAATATTGTGTTTTCAATGTTTTTGGTGTCGGAGGTAAAGAAAAAGTATGAAAACACAGAGTTTCCAGCACCCAGAGCTTCAAAACACTATGTTTTACAATGTTTTTGCATTTCCCGATGCCGAAAGCATTGTAAAACACAGCGTTTTTCAGCATTCGTAAATAAAAACGCTGTGTTTTACAATGTTTTCCGCATTGGGAAATACAAAAACATTGTAAAACACAGTGTTTTGGAGCTTTGGGTGCTGGAAACTATGTGTTTTCATACTTTTTCTTTGCCTCCGACACCAAAAACATTGAAAACAAAATACTTTTCACATTTTTCATTTTTTTTTTTTTTTTTTTTCTTTTTCTCCCTGGTTTCCTCCTAGGAATCCTCCACAAAGGAAATCAATTTGTAATCCGACACAAAAGGAATCAATTTGTAATCCCCCACAAAAGAAATCAATTTGTAATCCCCCACAAAAGGAATCTCTGTGTAATCCGCAACAAAAGGAATTGATGTGTAATCCTCCACAAAGGGAATCAATTTGTAATCCGCCACAAAAGAAATCAATTTGTAATCCCCCACAACAGGAATCAATGTGTAATCCCCCACAAAAGGAATCCTGTTGTAATTCGCCACAAAGGGAATTGATTTGTAATTCGTCACAAAAGAAATCAACTTGTAATCGGCCACATAAGGAATCCCTTTGTATTCCGCCACCAAAGGAATCCTTTTGGAAATCACCCACAAGGGAATTAATCTGTAATTGGTTACAAAAGGAATCCATTTGTAATCCTCTACAACGGTGAATCGTATTATAATCCACCACGAAAGGAAATCATTTGAACACTTTTTACAAAAGGGATTCGTCGAGACGGAGCCAACAGGAAGCCCATAGAGATATGAAGGGGATTGGTGAGGAACCAAAAGAACCCAAGAGGAGCTTGATGAAGGTTATCCTTGTGTTGAAGGCATCCCTTTTTGGGATGCCTTATCAACATCACCCCGCACTGTTTGAAGGTATTCTTGTTTGGGATGTCCTCAATCATCGCTGCGTTGAGGGCATCCCTTTTTAGGATGCCCCTTGTTAACAACACACCGCACTGTTTGACTGCACCCGTGTTTGGGGCGCTCCAAACGGGGAAGCGTTGGGAGCATTCCATTTTGGGATGCCCTTTATCAAGAACATACACCACTGTTTTGACGACATTCTGGTTTGGGATCCATTCAAACATCACTGCTTTGAGGAAATCTCTGCTTGGAATGGCCCCAGTCAACTCTATCCCGCCGGATGGTTTTTTGAGATTTTTCAGGGCCGGAGAAAACAAGAAAAAACAAGTACACGAAGGAGACTTCTGGGATACATTGACATATATCGTAAATTCAACGTACTTCGGTGTCCAAGAGGAGCAGGACTTGGAGCAGATGTTGGAGCAGGAGGATCAGTAGGAGGAGGAGGAGGAGGAGGAGGAGGAGGAGGAGGAGGAGGAGGAGGAGGAGGAGGAGGAGGAGGAGGATGGGAGAAAGAAGGACGCGGCGGAGGAGGAGGAGACACAGCGACGTCCGAATGCCCTGGGGAAATCTCTCCCCATCTCTCTCCCGAGTGCCTGTTCCCCCTCCTCCCTTCCGCTCTCCCTCACCCTTCCTTCTCACTCATCCTCCTCCCTCCCTTCCGCATTGCATTCCATTGCATGGCAATCGCGTTGCATTGCAATCTCATTGCATTGCAATCGCACTGCGTTCCAATGGGGGAGGAAGAAAGGAAGGAATATGAGAAGAGGATGGGAGGGTGTAGCGGGCAAAAGCTTTTAGGCTCTCAGCCCCGCCAAAACGCCACTGCTTGAAGCCATGGGCACTCCAGACAAGGACACCGAGCAGTGCAAGAGAAAGCTGGCAAAAAAACCGAGCCTACAAGGCCAAACGACGGCTTCAAGCTTTTCTACAGTCACCACGGGTGAAAACGCTGGTGGCGACCCTCCGCAAAGCAGCCTTGGACAAGGTCCGCGCGGCGGTCCGCATTTCTGCTCCCGAATCGTTCCGAATCGTGCTCCCGCTGCAGCGTGGGCCTCATTTTCGGATCGGTGTTTGGCCTCCGTCGTTCAGGATGGCGTTCTCGCCCCAGCGCGGGCCTCTTTCTCGCGCGCCCTCGGAACGAATCAGTAAACCAGGCCCTGCTGCCCTCTAACGCAAAGATTACTCGCAAACGCCCAGCATCTGCGATGTAGGTATCACTGATCCTTCGCAACTTGAACGCGTATGTTCGCACTGGTTGTCGTTGTGTGTGAAAACAAATTCTCTTCTCAACCAGATCGCATACGTCTGCTTTGTTGTACGGAAAAACTAAAGAAACCCCAGTCGTTAAATAGCACCATATTTTGAGTCCACGGGTGGGGGGGGGGGGGGGGGCGTGCGAGATGCGCAGCTGGGGCCTTCGGTGGAGCTCCCTGTAGGGGCCGCGGGGCGCTGTGCTGGGCGGGGAGACGCATGCGAACTGCGCCACTGGGACCTTCGGTGGAGCTCTCTCTGGGGCCTCGAAACGCTGTGCTGGGCGATGGTGGCGCATGCGAACTGCGCCGATGGGGCCTCGGGTGGAACTCCCTATGGTGCCACAAAAATATACCAGGCGGGGGAGGCGTATGCGATCTGGGGCTTCGAAACGCTGTGCTGGGTGGGGGGGCTCGCCGCTGGGACCTTCGGTTTAGCTCCCTCTGGGGCAGCGAAGCGCTGTGTTCGGCGTGGGAGACGCATGCGAACTGCGCCACTGGGACCTTCGGTCGAGCTCCCTCCGGGGCCTCGAAACGCTGTGCTGGGTGGGGGGGGCGCGCCGGTGGGACCTTCGGTTTAACTCCCTCTGAGGCAGCGAAGCGCTGTGCTAGGCGTGGGAGACGCATGCGAACTGCGCCACTGGGACCTTCGGTGGCTGTGCTGGGTGGGGGAGACGCACGTGGGCGCCGCCACGGGGGCCTCCGGCGGGGCTCTGCAGGGGGCCCCGAAGCGCTGTGCTGGGTGGGGGAGACGCATGTGGACACCGCCATTGGGGCCTTAGGTGGAGCTCCCTACGGGACCGCGAAGCGCTGTGCTGAGCGGGGGACACGCATCTGGACACCGCCGCTGGGGCCTTAAGTGGAACTCCCTATGGGCCACGACATGCCATGCTGGGCGGAGGAGACGCATGCAAACTTTGCCACGGGGGCCTTAATGGGGAGCTCCGCGTGGGGCGACGAATCGCCGTGCTGGGTGGGGGAAGCGCGCGTAGACGCCGCCGCGGGGGCCTCCGGTGGAGCTCCGCAGGTGGCCACGAAACGATGTGCCGGGCGGGGGAGACGCACATGGACACCGCCATTGGGGCCTTAGGTGGAGCTCCCTATGGGACCGCGAAGCGCCGTGCTGAGCGGGGGGGGCGCATGTGGACACCGCCACTGGGGCCTTAGGTGGAGCCCCTCGTGGGGCCACGCAACGCCATGCTGGGGGGGGGAGACAAAGGCAGGGAAGGGAGGAAGGAGGGGGTAGAGGAGGAAAAGAGGAGACGCGGGGACTGCGACGTCCAAGCGAAGACCCAGCAACAAGTCGGTTGGGAAATTGGCCCAGCGAAGAACCCAACCGCGCGCAATCGTTGACATCGTCTTCGGCGGCGCCCCCCACGGGGCCGCGGACCGCGCGAGGGGCGCGCCGAGATGCGCGGTGGGGAACGCAACGCGAACAAGACGATTGGTCTGAGTACGAGAAACTGAGCGCGGGCGAGTCTGAGCGCGAGTGAGTCCGATTGCGAACGAGTCTGCGGTCGAGCGAGTCCACGCGCTCCTCCTCCTCCTCCTCCTCCTCCTCCTCCTCCTCCTCCTCCTCCTCCTTGGTCGGATCGACCGTTGCCACCCCGTCTACCGTCGGGGCGTTGACCCAAGGAACCCTGTAAGTAAGGAGCGAGGCCCCTTTTTATCCATGAGGTAAGCCTCGACTTCCCCCCGGAGCTCGCCGCCGACATACACCTTTGTCGGATCGGCGCTGGACCCCCACGGCGCCTCCGCTGCCACCCCGTCCACCGTCGGGGCGTTGACCCAAGCAACTCTAAATGAGGAACGAGGCCCCTTTTGATCCATGAGGTAAACTTCGATTTCCCATGGGGAACCTCAGGAACGCTGCAGAAGAATCACGGAACGCCGAGCCCCTCCCCAACGTAGAGGGCTCCTTCTTCGGAGGCCCTCCCTGGCGCGCTCCGCGCTCTTCTTCCCCGGTCTGGCACGGCCCCCCCGCCCTGGCCTTCCCATTACGGCCGCCCCCCCGGCGCGCCCACGCGCCCGTGGAGAGCCCACGTGGCGACCAGAGCTGCGGCAGCGCGAGACATCGCGCCCGGAGCCCTCGACCCCGCGCTCGAGGCGGATCGATCTGCGCTGGGGCCCCGGGGCCCGGCAAACCGGGGGAGAGCGCCCGGCAGGAGCCCGAGGCGTCGCCCGGACCTCGGGGTCCTCTGCGCGCCGCCGCGATCGGGGGCGTCCAAGGGGGGGGGCGTCCAAAACGTAGCGAAACGATTCGACAGGGCCACGAACTCCGAGACGTCCTGGCCAGGGCGCCCTCCTGGGTTGGGCGACCCCGACGAGAATTAGGTCGGGCATGTCCTCCTACGGGCGGATGTTGGGCGATTGTTTATGTACATGTACGAAATACTCGGACGTGGTCAAAACATAGTCCCCAGCCAATTTTTGTTTACTATTCTTGAACATTCCCCCTGTAGAGGGTCGGCTACACGTAAGAGTGACCCTGGGCAAGAGTGGCCTTTGGTGCGCAGCTCAACGGTGGACGCGGGGGGAGCAAACATGGGCGCGCAAGCCGCTGCTATCGCATCGCATTCGGCGATTGGGGCACCCCCTTGGGCCCGCACCAAAGGTCACTCCGGCGAAAGGTCACTCTTACGTCTAGTCGAGAGGGACAGGCCCGACTGACGACGAGAAGCCGCCGCGGCCGGGCCGCCCGGGCCGCCACTCCTGGGCGTGCGCCTGGAAGAACTCCTGCGGCTCCTTGTCGTACGGAGCGAGCAGCGCCTCCGCCGCGTCCGCGAGCCTCGCCGCGCAGCGCCCTCCCGCCCAGAAGCACAGGAGGAGGAGGAGGAGGAGGAGGAGGAGGAGGAGGAGGAGGAGGAGGAGGAGGAGGAGGAGGAGGAGGAGGAGGAGGAGGAGGAGGGAGGAGGAGGAGGAGGAGGAGGAGGAGGAGGAGGGAGGAGGAGGAGGAGGAGAAAAGGAGGAGGAGGAGGAGGAGGGGAGGAGGAGGAGGAGGAGGAGGAGGAGGAAGAGGAGGAGGAAGAGGAGGAGGAGGAGGAGGAGGAGGAAGAGGAGGAGGAGGAGGAGGAGGCGCTGGCGGCGCGCAAGCTTGGTCCCGCCTGTGTTGGGCTTCGTTTCTGCCACGCTTCTCTTCAGAAGCGGGCTCCCAGCACGCGGGCACGCCCACGACCCGCGCGACTTCGGATCGGATCTGCAAGGCTGACATCTGCAAGGCTACCATCCGCAGAGGAGGCGGGGGGGTGGGGGCGACGGGGGCCTTCCGAGGAAGGCTTCCGGGGCCTCGTCGATCGAGGAGGCCCTCTTGGACGCCTCCGGCGCGGCGCTCCCCCGCCCCAGAGTCGCTGGCGGCACGCCCGGGCGGAAGGCAGGGGGGCAAGTGGGGGCGAGGGGGGAGCCTCCCGACAAGGCATGGGGGGGGGCCTCTTCGAGGCACACCCCCCTCCCAGCCCTCGAGGAGGCCTTCCCGGAAGCCTCCGGTCGGCGCTTCTGGGGGGCGGCGCCCTCCCCCGCTCGCCTCGCCCTTGCGGCGCGCCGCCGAGATCAGGGCAGAGTCGGCCTCGGGGTGTGCCCCCCTGGCAACGTCCTGGCGAGCTCGCCGAGCTGCGCCGGGCCGCGTCGGCGAGGGCTGCCCGCGGGCCTGGAAGAGGAGTCGGAGGGCGGACGAGCACTGGTCCAAGGCCCGAGGCCGACTTGAGGACGCCAGGTTTAGGTCGGGCATATCCCCCTACAGACGGATTTCGGACGAAAAACAAAAAATACCACCAAAATACTCCAACAATGCTCCAAAAGAGTCCAGACATCGTCCCCGTACTATGTTTTGACTATGTTTGAATATCCCATTCCTCCTGTAAGGAGGGACAGGTCCGACTTAACGCAAGGTGAGGGTGCAGGCCTCCATGCTGAGAAGACGTTTCGCGTTGGCCGCCCTTCGGGGCCGGACGACGAACCCCCCCCCCAAGAATGGGCCAAAGAGCCAACCACGCTCAAGAGCCCATGAGCTGAAGGTGCCCTTGTGAAAATACTCCATCCTCGAGACAGTCGACCGCAAGGACACTGACGCAAAGGAAGGCAAGCACAACATTGATGATGCACTGCATCCTTACTATCGTGGTTGACTGGCTTTCGGGCTTCAAGTGGCCATTCGGGACGATTCCGGGCTTCACGGAAGGCTCTTGACCTGATGCCGTAGACCCCGAGGGCCCGAAGATAGGCAAGAGCCCAAAGACAACTCCGGAAAGCCTTCCAGAACCTGTGATCCCGACTGTGATTTTTGACTGTAGGTGTTGCCTCGATATGGCCCACTCTGGAACCACTGAATCCAGACAGGTTCACCGTTTGGAAATCTGTGTTCTTTCACCGCCAGTCGACAGTGAACTACTTTCGCCGCCGCGTTTGTCTCCGTATGGGGGTAGTGCTTACTGTGAACGCCCCAGGGGCATGTGATACAGACTGGTGTGGCCCGACAAGACATGTTAACGTCTCGATCCCTCGAGGGCGCGCCCTGAAGCGCCTCGTTTGCGTCGGACGAGAGGGGGGATAGCAAAGGAGGCGAATCAGCTCACGTAGCTGGCATTCCTGGCGCAGCCCGACGGCGGAGACCATCTACATGCAGCAATCTTCGTCCCCCCCCCTTTCCCCCCCCTGTCTCTGGATGCCCGTACAGAAAAATTGAAATCACCATGCCAAACAGTGGAGAACGTCCAAAACTGACAGCAGTCGCTGTGGGGCAGGCGACTTTTTGCCTCAAGTGGACTACGCCAATTGGCGAGAACGGCAATAAATCCTGCTCAAAACTGGCAAGAACTGCTGTCGCTCTTCGTGCCCTTCTTTCCGTACATATGCGACCTCCCTCCGGAGGGTGATAAGGAGGTTCGGGGAGGAGAAACCGACTTCTCATTCAATCGATCTCACTATACGATCTCATGATCGATCTCACTATCAGGATCTCTATCGATCTTACTATCGATCTTACGATCCCTCTCACGGTCGATCTCACTATCGATCTCACTATCGACGTCAATACCGATCTCACTAACTTATCGATCACCCTGTCAATCTCACTATCGGTCTCTCTATCGATCTAACTATCGATCTCACTATCGGTCTCAATAACAGTCTCGCTGACGATCTCGATCTCACTACCGATCAGGCTATCATTGCCATTAACGATCTCAATATCGATCTCACCACCGATCTTATTCGACCGATCGCACCATCGATCTCGGCCCCATATCAATACCACTATCGGTCTCAGTATCGATCTCACGATCGATCTCACTATCGATCTCACTATAGATCTCACCATCGGTCTCACTATCGATCGTACTATCGATCGAAAGGGCACCGACGGGATACTGGCGGGATACCCGCGGGACACCGCCGGACAACCCCGCGGGGGGCCATCTTTTGGCCCGGCGACGCCCTGGCCAGAGGGTTCGTTCCTCTCGCCCGTCCACGCAACTTTCCCTCGCCCGCCCGCACGACACGAACACGAAACCGAAACCGATTTCCCGGTGGGAAGTATCCGCTTCACTGCAATCTCACCCCCTCACCTCCTATCCGTTTCGGTCGTAGCAGCTTTCGTCAATTGTTGTTCCCCAAACAGCTTGCTGAACGGGGTGCTGTTGTGATAGAAGCTAACTCCGGCCGAGGGAAGTCGGAGCAGAGACATCCTCACAAAAATTTGATGGTCCGGGCCGTTTCGCTTGAGATATCCTCACAACTCTCGTTTCTGAGTTGGCCGGGATTGGCCGTTTCGCCTGAGACATAACTCTGAGCCCCGAGGTGCCGTGCGAGAGGTGGTTCGGGCCGTTTCGCCTGAGACATCCTCGAAACTCTGAGCTCTGAGATGCCCTCTGCGAGGTGGTCCGGCCCGTTTCGCCTGAGACATCCTCGAAACTTTGACCTCGGAGATGCCGCGCGAGAGGTGGTCCGGCTTGTTTCGCCTGAGACATCCTCGAACTTCTGAGCTCTGAGATGCACTGCGCGAGGTGGTCCGGCCCGTCTCGCCTGAGACATCCTCGCAACTCTGAGCTCTGAGATGCCGTGCGCAAAGTGGTCCGGCCTGTTTCGCACAAGACATTCTCGCAACTCTGAGCTCCCAGATGCCGTGCAAGAGGTGGTCCAGCCTTGGGGCCCAGAAGACCACATGTTACATATCCTCCCTGGGACCCTGGGAGCCCGCCTGAGACATCCTCGAACTTCTGAGCTCTGAGATGCCCTGCGCGAGGTGGTCCGGCCCGTCTCGCCTGAGACATCCTCGCAACTCTGAGCTCTGAGATGCCGTGCGCAAGGTGGTCCGGCCTGTTTCGCACAAGACATTCTCGCAATTCTGAGCTCCCAGAGGCCGCGCAAGAGGTGGTCCAGCCTGGGGGCCCAGAAGACCACATGTTACATATCCTCCCTGGGACCCTGGGAGCCCCAGGAGGCCCCAGAGAGCTCCAGGAGCCGCAGGACGCCCAGGACAGGCCCCAGGGGTCCCCAGGAGATTCCCAGGAGGCTCCCAGGAGGGCCCCTATCAGAACGTGTCCAGTTAATACACATCCGGTGTCGATTCGATGATTTTTCCCGCTCTTGTGCCCCCCCCTCCATTTTTGAGAGGCCCAAGCGGCCACAGGTTAGATATCCCTCCTGGGAGCCCCAAGAGGCTTCAGGAAACCCCAGGTGGAGTTCAGGAGGCCACAGGAGGCCCAGGAGGAAGCCCCAGGAGGTCACCAGGAGGCCCCAAGAGGCACCAGGAGGCCCCCGCAACTCGGAGCTCTGAGACGCCGCGCTCGAGGTAGTCTGGCCCGTTTCGCCTGAGACTTCCTCGCAGCGCGTTTCGCCCGAGACACCGTCCAGTCTCGCCTGAGGCATCCTTGCAACTCTGAGCTCTGAGATGCCGTGCGCAAGTTGGTCCGGCCCGTTTCGCACAAGACATTCTCGCAACTCTGAGCTCCCAGATGCCGCGCAAGAGGTGGTCCAGCCTGGGGGCCCAGAAGACCACATGTTACATATCCCCCCTGTGACCCTGGGAGCCCCAGGAGGCCCCAGAGAGCTTCAAGACGTCGCAGGACGCCCAGGACAGGCCCCAGGGGTCCGCAGGAGATTCCCAGGAGGCTCCCAGGAGGCCCCAGGAGGCTCCCTATCAGAACGTGTCCAGTTAATACACATCCGGTGTCGATTCGTTAATTTTTCCTGCTCTTGTGGCCCACCCCCATTTTGGGGGGCCCCGACGGCCACATGTTAGATATCCCCCGCTGGGAGCTCCAAGAGGCTTGAGGAAGCCCCAGGTGGGGTCCAGGAGGCCACAGGAGGCCCAGGAGGAAGCCCCAGGAGGTCACCAGGAGGCCCCAGGAGGCCCCAGGAGGCCCCCGCAACTCGGAGCTCTGAGACACCGCGCTCGAGGTGGTCCGGCCCGTTTCGCCTGAGACTTCCTCGCAGCACGTTTCGCCCGAGGCATCGTCGCAACTCTGGGGTCCGAGATGCCGCGCGCGAGGTGGTCCAGCCCGTTTCGCCTGAGACTTCCTCGCAACTCTGGGCTCCGAGATGCCCTGCGCGAGGTGGTCTGGCCCATCTCGCCTGAGACATCCTCGCAACTCTGAGCTCTGAGATGCTGTGCGCAAGGTGGTCCGGCCTGTTTCGCGTAAGACATTCTCGCAACTCTGAGCTCTCAGATGCTGCGCAAGAGGTGGTCCAGCCTGGGGGCCCAGAAGACCACATGTGGATCCCAGGAAGCCCCAGAGAGCTCCAGGAGGCCGCAGGACGCCCAGGACAGGCCCCAGGGGTCCGCAGGAGATTCCCAGGAGGCTCCCAGGAGGCCCCAGGAGGCCCCCTTACCAGAACGTGTTCAGTTAATACACATCCGGTGTCGATTCGTTGATCTTTCCTGCTCTTGTGGCCCCCCTCTCCCATTTGGGGGGGCCCCGACGGCCACATGTTAGATATCCCCCCCTGGGAGCCCCAAGAGGCTTGAGGAAGCCCCAGGTGGGGTCCAGGAGGCCACAGGAGGCCCAGGAGGAAGCCCCAGGAGGTCACCAGGAGGTCCCAGGAGGCCCCAGGAGTCCTCTCAACTCGGAGCTCTGAGACGCCGCGCTCGAGGTGGTCCGGCCCGTTTCGCATCGTGCAACTCAGGGGCTTTCCTGGGTACGGCAAGCCTCGGATACGAATAGCTCCCCCGACTTGGAAATCAAAGGAACGGTCCGAAAACAAGAGCCCCTTCTGAGCCCCAAGTGTTCCTCATTCCAGCGCCCTGATTGTGCATCCGTCGCCTTCCGCCAGCGCAAGGCGCCCTTGTCTTCCTTCCGCCGCTTTTCTAATCCTTCTGCCAAGAATGATGAAGAGGCCCTGGGACACACAAATATCAGACACAAATCCCAAGATTCCCCATATGTTCTCATATCTTCAAAATGTTCGTCTTCCCCCCCACTTCCCATATTTCCCCTTATTTTCCTGGGGATCGACGATTCATTGTGTCTGTGCGCCTTTTTCCCCTCCTGAGAAGATAAGGCAGCCGCTCGATCCCTCGAGAGGCGAGCCTGTTTCCGGAGCGCCCCACCCAGACATCTGAGGAGGAGGAGGAGGAGGAGGAGGAGGAGGAGGAGGAGGAGGAGGAGGAGGAAGAAGAGTGGGCAGCGCGTTTCCGGCGAGCCCGCTTCCGGCGAGCCCGTTTCCGGGTGGCGCGTCCCATATCCACACTTGGTGGCCCCGAGGCTCGACAACGGGACCCCGAGGCCCAGACCGAAGAACAACGTCCGGACCGACGAAACAAAAACAGATCGCCTGAGATCTGGCAATGCAACCTATCGTCCGCGAGGCCCGTCCCCAGAGCGCCCCACGCCCACATGTAGTCGACGCGCTGGCGTTGTCAGTTGAAGCGTTTTCTCGCGATCTCGGCCTCCGCGTCGCGTTACCAGGTCCCGGGGCTTTCAAGATCGGATCCGGGACGCACAACTACTCCAGGGGGAAGGGATCGGCAGCACTGCGGGCCGGGGATTGAAAACAACAGACGGTCAGGAACTCTGGCATAGAATTGTCGCCACGGCGGCCACGGCGACAAGCTATGCCCTGCAAACAAATAGCTTGTCGCTCCGCTCCGCGAGAGGCGGGGAAAGGCTTGGGACGTTGACGCTTGAACCTGGGGACGTGGACAGCGTGTCGTGCCGGAGCGCGGTGGGCTAAAACCGGTGGCGCGACACGCTCAGCCGAAGTTCCTCAACCGGAGTCGGCAACACTGCGGGGTCTGGGCACGGCGCCGATTTCGGGCAGCCCTGGGAGCCCCGCGACGCCGCCGAGCTCCGCTCCCGACCGCCAAGCATCGCCCAGCAGCGCCAGCAGCGCCGCCCAGCGGGGAGAATCCAGGCAGCCCAGCCGCCGCAGCCGCTCCGCGTCCACCAGAGGAGGGGAGTGAGGGCCCCGACCTCCTCCTCCTGCTCCTCCTGCTCCCTTCTCCTTCTCGTACTCCTCCTCCCCCTCCCGCCCTCCCTCCCTCCCTCCCTCCCTCTCTCCCTCTCCTCCTCCTCCTCCTCCTCCTCCTCCTCCTCCTCCTCCTCTTCTTCTTTTGTTTTTTTGTTTGGATAATTGTGCCGAGGGCCTCCTGGGACCGCCAAAGTTTTCTCCTGGCCCCGGGGTGTCCCCCTCGGCCGCACCGAGAGCTTTCCTGAGACCCCCAGAGTCGCCCCGAACGGGCGCCTTGGGGGGGGGGGACGAAGGGGCAAACCAGAACTCGAATGCCAACTGGTGGGGAGGGAAGAGGTCTTCCTGATCCTCCTTTCTTCCTCCTTCCTCCCTTCTTTCCTTCCGTCTTTCCTTCCTTCCTTCCTTCCTTCCTTCCTTCCTTCCTTCCTTCCTCCCCCATCTTCCTCCTCCTCCTCCTCCTCCTCCTCCTCTTCTGCTTCTTATTCTTATTATTTTTCCTCCTCCTCCTCTTTCTTTTCCTCTTCCTCGTCCTCGTCCTCTTCCTTCCCTCTGGTAATTCTCAGCCTCTGGAGGCCCTCAGGCCTTGGGACCGTAAACAAAAATAGCACATGTAGTCAGAGGATCAAGCCGCATGGCCGATGCACCAACGACATCGGGGTTGAAAACGTCGGACTCCAAATCGCGCCGCATCGCCGATACATCGTCGACGCGTTGGGTCCTCCACCTGTTCCCGGTCCTAATGGGGGGGGGGGGCATGGAAAAAAGAAGGGGGAAAGGACGAAGCAGGGAGAATGAAAAACATCAGGACTTGCACTCCGTGGAATGCGAGTCCGCCTGCCCGTTGATGAAGGACAACTCTTGCTACCCCAAATGCCGACCCTGAATCTTGAAGGCCGGATCTGTATTCCGGAGGGGCGCGTGACCATTCTGAGGCCATAACTCGAAGGAGGGAGGAAGAAGAAAAGGAAGGATGAGAGGAGGGAGAAAGGATGAGGGGAGGAATAGCAGGCCCAACAACGAAGAAATGCCCCAGCAAAACACCCTAGTGAAAGCCCCCGCGCGACAACACAAACGTGCACCCTCTCACTCTGCCCGACGCCTGTGGCCATTTGGGCTCAGGCGCTCGGCCGATTTTGAACAACGGTTGGCTGGCCACTCCTTCGCGGCCAGGCCCCAGCTCGTGGGGCCAGCCTGCGGGCTGGCGGAGAAGATGAAAGAGGAGGGAAGGAGAAGAGGAGGAGGAGGAGGAGGAGGAGGAGGAGGAGGAGGAGGAGGAGGAGGAGGAGGAGGAGGAGGAGGAGGAGGAGGAGGAGGAGGAGGAGGCTGGCCCCCGGGCCGTGCGCCCTCGACGCCGCGCTGCGGCGGGTCGGCAAGGCGCCGCGCGAGCGCGACCTCCTCGGCCCGCGCCCCGCGCTGCAGGCCGAGGAGGCCGAGCTCGAGATGCCCCATCGCGCAGGCTGCGGGGGCCGCGGGCCTCGCCGTCGAAGGAGGCGCGGCAGCCGTTGCGGGAACTCGCCCCAAACATGCGGCGTCCTGACTTCTCCACTGCGGCGCCCCCGAAAGTCCAGACCCTTTCCCCAGGGCCGGCTTTTCATCCTGAGTCATTGTTTGACGCTCTTGGGGCCTGGCGAGGGCCCCTGGAGGCCGAAAATAGCGAAACACCTCCCGTCGTGATTTCTTCACGACGCGAGGGGATCTGGGAAGAGCCCGCTCAGAAATGCCTCAGGGCGCGCCACGGTTGCCCCGAACGGGCGTGCTGGACGACGCCACGGTCGAAACCCCACCGCCGCTGGGGGCCTGCGCGATGGCGGGGACCCGCTTCGCGCGGAGGTGCCGCGCGGCCGCGGAGCGCCAGCGTGGAGTGGAGGTGCAGGAGCGGGCGCGGTGGAAGCCTCGCCTGATCGCGCTGCTCGAAGGGATGAGAGCGACCCCCCCCAGGATGGCGCAGGCCTGTATGGACTCGGAGCGGGCGAAGGGCGGCATCGCAGGCCGCACGCGCGTCAACACGGTGAGGTCGTACGTGCGCGACATGGAGATGATGCGCGGGTGGTTTCTGCGCGCGCGGGGTCTCGTGGCGCGCGACGATCGCGCACTTCATACGACTGCGCGCGCGCCAGGGCGGCGGCCGACGGTGCCAAACCAGACCCTGCGCGCCTCCGTCTGGGCGGAGCGGGTCGCAGGTATCGATGCGAACGACAGGCTCTGCGCCTGGCCGGAGGCGCAGCAGGTCGACGCCAACGTGGAGACGCTCCTCGGCGCGGGCAAGGGGCCGACGACGTCGGCAGCACGTTTCCTCAGCGCGTTTATCGGAGCATTCGAACGGCGGATCATGGACAACGGCCCCGCCCCGTACCTGAGCGGCGTGGCGTGGCTTCGCCTCGTCAAGGTGCGGGCCGCGCTGCACTGATGCGACCGCAGCTGGCCCCCGCCGCGGTGACTCGCTTCAGCGGGCAGGGGGCTGACGGCCACGATAGGGCGCGCGATGACCGGCAGAACAGGGCGCGAGATGCCGGAGCATCCGCTAGTGGTACCCCGAGCGCTACATGCAGGCCCGGGCGCGGATCCAGGTTGGCTTCGACCTGTGGCAGGGGGTCGCAGATGTCGAAGGGGTCCTGAAACCAGCGGCGCGCGCAATGGAGGTGATCGAACTCTCGGGGCGGGCGACGGACCCCTCGGCCATGACGGCATCGGGGGTCTCGAAAAGTGACCGCGACGACCTGGGCTGGCGGTCGCTGGAGGGGGCGGGCACGCGCGAGGACGCGCCGTGTAAGTCGTGGTCAGGCTCCAGAGGCAGGTTGCGGATGTGCTGCGCTCAGAGAAGGCCTGCGCGGCGCCGGGCGAGTCGGCGGCCATCCCGCAGCTGACGGACTGGCCAATGCCGAGGAAGAACTTCTCGGTGCAGAAAGCGGCGAACTTGGCAGCCGAGACTTACGCGGCCCTCGAGACCTACGCTGGCGGGTTAGCGATGGCGCTCCGGGGCAGCTAGGACGAGCCGGGCGCGACGGCAACCCCAGAGGCCGACTCCGAAGATGGGGGGCCGGATGGCGTCGCACCAACGGCGGGGATGGCAACGCCTCCACGAGGAGTGCCGAAGGCAGATCGAGGACGAGGGTCGCCCAGAATAGCTGGGCGAACGCCCAGATCGGTGACGGTGAGAAAAGACACGACTCTAGAGCTCTACAGCACCGGCAGCTCTCTCATCGTGCACACGGAGAAACGCAAGGTAGCCAGGCTCCAGAACGTCGCGGGCTGCGGTCGGGCGAACGGCAGGCCGCCGCTGAACTCGACCCACTTCGACGATTTGCCCGACGCAAAGGACCACGACGTGGTCTGACAGACGCGCCGGCGTCCAATTTCGGCCGAGATGGCGAGAGCGGGACAAGAGCGAGGACGGCGACTCGGGCAGCTCGTCGAGTTCCGCCAACTCCGACGGGTCGGGCGGGGCCGCCGCGTGGAAGGCCTCGGCGGCGGCGGGCTCCGCGTGACACCCGGGGCGCGAGCGCGCCGGCCCCCGGCCCCTCCCACCTGGCGGATCGGCCGCGAGGGCGCTTGCAGCGGAGGGCACCGCGCGATCCGTCTGGACGGGCCCCCCCGCAACCACCCACCCTGAGGGTCGGGCGTCAATCATTGTTTACTTTTCAGGGAAACAATGATTGACGGCGGACGAGGGTTATCTTTTGATGTGAAAGCGTTTACTGCGCCCCCTCCATGTGCATTTTCTCAGGCCCACAGATGAGGGGAAACATTGGGCGCATTTTTGAGCAAAAGTGGCTAGGGGAGGAGACGGAGAGGGAAAGGAAGGGGAGGGAGGAGGAACAAGAAGCAGAGAGGAAGGCGTAGGGAGAAGGACGGGATTCGATTGCGAAGGCCTGACGTGGGTCAGAGTCCTCATGGATGCTTCTTGGGGTCTCTTCGAAGCGCTCTCGGGTGCTTCTCGGGGGCAGTGTAAAGGCCTCTTGGGAGCTTCGTGGGGCCTCTTGGGGGCCTCTTGGGGGCCTCTTGGGGGCCTCTCGGGGCTTCCTGGGTGCCTCTTGGGGGCCTCTTAGGACCTCTGACTTTTGGGTGCTTCCTTGGGGGCCTTTTGGTTCCTCCTGTGAGCCTCTCGGGGCCGAGGGCTCGAAATGTCCGTTTTGGTCCCTCGTCTGGGCACCCTCTTGGAGCCGTCTTGGGGGCCTCCTGGGCCGTCTTGGGGCCTTTGATTTTTCCACTTGGGGCCTTCTTCGAAGTGCTCCTGGAGGCCAAGGCAGGTCAGGTCAGGTCAGGAGCCTTGCGCCAGACGGCGCGCGAGCAGGGTGAAACAAGACGATTTTGCCTGTGAAGGGGCCCCTCGGCACTCCATCCAAATCAGGCTCTGCGAAGCATGTCTGGGCTTCGATTTTTCCACGGGCTCAGTCCTCCCAATCTCGAGAGGCCTCGACCCCTGCAGACAAGCGTACCTTGCTCATCGCCACGTTTTCCAACGTCTTGGGGTGTTTCGACCGCCCGCAAATGAGCTTCAGAACTCCTATAAACGCTTCATCTAAATAGCAAGAGAAATCCTTTGGCGGCCCGAACAAACTCAACTGATCCTCGACTAAATGCTGCAGCAGGTGCATTTTCTGCCTACAGTGAAAAGGCATGTTTTTGTGTTCGGCTGCGGGCAGTCCCGTGCACCAAAGGTCGTTCAAATCAACTAGGGTCTGCAAAAAGTCATACATAGGTTGAATGCACCTTTGGGCGTCGAAGTTCGGGCTGTCGCAAGCGGTATAATATTCGACGACGGCAGAAAACAACCTCACAATCAATTCACAGTACCTGGGCCCGCGGCCATACAAGCGATGGCCAGGCCTCCTCCAATCGAATGGCTCTCGGCCTTGGTGGCCAGCCTGCCGATGGGCCAATGCCAGACAGAATCTGCACAAGTGCTTGGCTTGGGAAGCCTTGCTTTTCAGCACGGGGTACGGTGAATTCTTGGACCTGATTTGTGACAGACTAAGAACAATAGGGGTCAGGCGGGGATTGGAGCGAAAGTAAGCGTTGAGGTCCTGATTGATACTCTTCAAACCAAGCTTTTGATTCCGATGCCACCGTTTGTTGCTTATCTCCACCCAGAACAGCGAGCCTATCGCGTCCAGGAGGGGCCCCAGTTCGCCCGCGTGCATCTGATCCACGGCAAAGTGATCCAGTAGCAATCCAGGGCACCTGAAGATGGTGCTCAGCTCCAAACCCCCAGCTGCCACCTCCATCATGAAACTCTGATGAGTACGAAGCTCGCTCCTGTGCGGAGCATCCCTGCGGAATTCTCGCCTGTATTGCTCTTTGGTAACGTTGCATTTCCAACAAAAACATTCTTGACCTGGCCGTCGAAAGCGGTATGCTTGGGACATCCAATCCCAATCGCCACGAATCTGCACGATCCCAGCAAGAGGCAATTCAGTAGTTGGCGCCAGTCGGTGTCGAGCGTCCCAAGCACTCCAAGGCTGGCCGTCATGGCGTCGATCGGGGGCCCCACGCCCCCTGAGGTGCTGCATCGACCAAGCGACGACAGAGAACACGTCTTGCAGCGTGTGAAAACCTTCACAACCGCACGCGCACATCGAGTCCTACAAAGAAGTGTTTCGCGAAACAAATACGCATATGACACTTCGCTTGAGGGGGGAACGGGGGGGCGGATTTAATGGAGGAGGTGGAGGAAGAGGTAGAGTATGATGATGGTGATGATGATGATGCTGATGCTGATGTTGACGCTGATGATGTTGCTGTTGATGATGATGCTGATGATGATGCTGGTGGTGATGATGGTGATGCTGATGATGATGATGCTGCTGCTGATGATGATGATGATGAGAGGGGAGAAGGAGGAGGAGGAGGAGGAGGAGGAGGAGGAAGAGAAGGAGAATCCCCGATACACGGGGAACACACATGCGCATTCGTTTCTTGAATCCCTCCTTCCTTGGCCAGCACGCAAATCATAAAACGCTTCTTTCTAATGGCAGCCGATCCAGCGAGCAGGTTGAATGACACTGCAGTCACGGACTTTGCCCCACCTGCCCTCATGGTCGTCGTGTACTGAACTCCATCACCATGCAACCCGAGCGGCGACACCGAGGTCGCCAGATGGGGCGCGACGCCGACGTCTGGGTGCGCGCACCAGCTCTGGATCAACCTGCCCACTGGCGTGCTTCCAATCTGCTCCTCCGTGAGAGCTGCTTCCTGGAAGCTTGTCCTGTAGTGATGGACTGTCTCGTGCGGCAGAAAAAAAGCGTGCTTGACAACCGTGTTATCAGGGCCCCGAGTGTCTGCATAATATTCTTTGGGTAGAGAATCCACGATACCGAATCTCTCGGCAGCCGCCAGGATGTCCCTCTGGATGTTTGATTGCCAACGGCCGTCTGTGCCAGCTGATCGCAGGGCATCCGCTGACCCCAACGGGCCCCAGTGCCCAAGCTGGAAAGAGAAGCTGACCGCCGTGAGACAATCCTGCAGGTTGGATGCATCCCTCAAACGGCACGCCACAGCGGCGCCTTTCCAGCCCCAGCCGTCCTCCCACGCTGCTGAGGCCAGCTTCTGCACGGCCGCCCCTGAGAGAACCCCTTTGGCAAAGAGGCTGTACAACTCCAGCTCAAGCTTCGATGGCATCGGGACTTCGACTGCAGCCCGCAATTCCAAGCTGAGGAGCTTGAGCGCAAAACAGGCTACGGATGTGCATGTTGTTGGTTTGTTTCAGTTTGCGTTTGCGCTTGTTGGTAGGGGTAGTGTACATGCGGTGCGTTATGCCTGTCTTGTTGCAGGATGCTGATGTGCTTTAGTTGTTGATGCTTATCTATGGTATTGCTCCTGCTTTCCGTTATCGCTGCTGCTGCCTTGCTCGGTGGAGGGAGGAAGTAGTAAACATGCGGTGGTTCATGTTTCCGTTACTTGCGGATCATTGGTGTTATTAAATTGTTCTTGTTGGTGGTTCTGTTCTGCCATTGCAGTTGCTTGTTGTTTCTGTTGCTGTTGTTGTCGTCGGTGTTGTTGATGGTGTTGTTGTCGTTGTCGTTGTCGTTGTGGTTGTTGGTGTTGTTGATGGTGTTGTTGTTGTTGTTGTTGTTGTTGTTGCTGTTGCTGTTGTTGCTTGTCTGATGGGGGGGAGGAGAGGGGCTGGGAAAGGGGTAGGGCCTTTTATATCCGTCGTGCCCAGGACGTAAAAGAGAGATCTGAGAAGAAGGGAAGGGAGGGGGATTATCTCATGTGTTATGTTGACCTTGTTAGCTGCTCAGTGTTGGCGATCTGTCGTAAGAAGCTTGTTGTTGTTGCTGCTGCTTGTCTGATGGGGGGAGGAGAGGGGCTGGGAAGGAGTTGGGCCCTTTATATCCGTCGTGCCCAGGACGTAAAAGAGAGAAAGAGAGAGAGAGAGAGAGAGAGAGAGAGAGAGAGAGAGAGAGAGAGAGAGAGAGAGAGAGAGCTGAGAAGAAGGAAAGGTAGAGCAGCTATCTCATGTATTATGTTGACCTTGTTAGCTGCTCAGTGTTGGCGATCTGTCGTAACAAGCTCGGGGTATGACATTATGTATTATGTTGTCTTTGTTCGCTGCTCATTGTTGGCGATGCTGTACGAGGCGATGCTGCACGATGCGGTTGTTGCTGTCTCTGTGCTCCAGAGAGAGAGAGAGAGAGCAAGGGGGGCTTGCATTATCTTCGCGCTCGGGCAGAAAGAACGGCTGATCCCAACTGGCTCCTGGAGCAAACCGCACGCTCCATGTCTGACCCAGCTGTGACCGATGCATGTATATTGCCGTGCTGCTAGATGGCCCGAACGGCGTCGCTCAAACTCAAGCAAAATCAACTCGAATAGGCAACTGCGCAGCCACGAGTCCGCGTCGCCTGGACACGCGCCAAAGCTATGGGCATTCAGGCCGAAAAGCTGGGAGGAGGGAGGGAGGACAGATGATATACAGGTAAAAAAGTTGCCCTGCGGCCACGCTCGCTCCTGCGGCCCCTTATAAGGGCTCAGGCGCGGCGCCGTCCGTCACGGCCTTGCCACCGGTGCTGTCGACCTGCTCGGAGCCCGCGGCCCCGTCGCCGTTGGCCTTCTCGGCGGTGTTGCCCTTCTTCTCGTCCTTGGTCTTCCTGGCGCGCGCCTTGGGCTTGGCCTTAGCAGCCTTCATGGGGAACAGCTCGCGCCTCATGTCATCGCGCTGCTCTGCGTCCAGCTCTGCCTCCTCCTCGTACGTGTCAGTCCTGGCCTTCTTCAGAGAAGTTGTGGAGCAGGAAGAGCAAACAATGTAGACGTAGCCCGCAGCAGCTGGCAGCCCCAGATCATCTGCTTGTTTGATCGTAGCCTTCGAAGCCTTCTTCTGCTTGACCCAGCCCATCTTCACGGCGAGGTCGATCTCCTGCTGGATGTTCTCATCCCTCGGCGATAGGTTCATCTTGGTGCACATCTCCCAGTAGCTGAGGGTCGCCTGAACCTTGGAGTCCGCGTGCTCCTGCGTCTTCGTGGAGGTGATGCGACGCGTCGATTTGCATATGTTCTTCAGGTAGAAGTCCTGCAGCTTGATCTGCGAGATGAGCTGCTCCACAGGAGGGAGGCCCTTTGTCTCCGCCCACAACTCGCTGAAGTTCGAGTTCGGATTGGCGTACCGATACTTCGACATCTTCTGGCTGAGGTCCTTGATCTCCCCAGCCTGCTCCTTCATCTTCTGCTTGAGCTCCTTGATCTGTGCCTTATCTTCTTTTGACTTAGCCTGCATGGCAGTCTGCTTAGCCCTTGCGCTCTTCGCTGCATCCCTCGCCTTTTCGGCAGCCAGCTTAGCCTTGGCGGTCGCCTCCATCTGCTTCACCATGCGCGACGTTGCTGCATCGACCTTGATGGGGACAGAGTCTGAGTCCGAGTCCGAGTCCGAGTCCGAGTCATCATCGTCGCCATCAGCGGCGCCGTCACCAGCAGCAGCCTCGCCTGGGGCATCGGGGGCAGCCTCGGCCGATGCAGCACCCTGGGCTTCGGGAGCAGCAGCCTCGGGAGCAGCAGCCTCGGGGGCAGCCTCGGCTCCAGCAGCTGCAGCAGCCTCCAGGGCTTCGGGAGCAGCCTCGGGAGCAGCAGCCTCGGGGGCAGCCTCGGCTCCATCAGCTGCAGCAGCCTCGGGGGCTTCGGGTGCAGCCTCGGGAGCAGCAGGAGCAGCGGCCTGCTCAGGCAGGCCCCCCCCGTCAGACGCCGCAGCCTCGCCTGCATCACTAGTGCGCAAGAGGTGCTCAGGAGTCTGCTCAACGCCAACCTTCTTCGCCGACCCCTCGGATGGCGACGGGCCCTGAAGGTCGTCTGCGGTGCCCGCGCGGCGAGGTGGCGTGCTGAAGATCTGAGCTGGGGCACCGCCGACAGCGGCCCGTTGCGGTTCCTCCAGCGTCTGCTCCGACACGCCAGCCGCATGCAACTCCTCATCACCAGCGGGAACTGTGGACGTGCCATCCTCGGCGTCGGCGGGCCGCTCCTCCTTGACGGGCGTGAGGGGCTTGCGCCCGCGCCCGCGAGGGCGACCCTTGCCGCGACCCTTGCCGCGAGCCTGCAGGCGAGAGGAACCAACCGATGTACTGGCATCCGTGTCGCTCTCGGTGTCGCAGCGGTAGGTGCCAGTGGCGATTGCCTCGGTGAGCTGATCGAACTTGGCGTTCCACGAATCGAGCAACGTCTGAGTCATCCCCGAAGGCGCGAGTCGCGTCAGGTGACAGGTGAGCTCGGCAGAACAACGCGTGCTGCAGGCAACTTCGATGCCAAAACGGCTGCGGAGAGGAGGAGGAGGTTGAAGTTGGCCGAGGAGGGGGCCAAAATTATCTACAGGACCTGCCATAGATAATTCTATAGATAATTTTATAACTAAAACCCTTATGTAAAACTATCTACAGCATTCCATAGATAATTCTATAGATAGTTTTGGCCCCGAGCCCCGCGACGCAACATCGTGCCCTGAGGGCCCCAGAGGCTCAGGGCCTCAGCGGCCCCAGAGATGACCCCCGCAGAGACCACGAGTACTGAGGGGACGATACGGGCACGGGGCATTTGTTTTTGTTGAGCGGACGCGTTGGGCCCGCAACATCATTGGGGGGCCCAGCAGCAGCCCTAGACAGTTCCAAGATGGCTCAGGACAGCCCCATACAATTCCGCGACAAAGTGGCTGAAACACACCAGCCATTTTGTCGCGTCGGAAGCCCTCTTGGGCTTCTGAGCCCACGTGTTTTCCTCGGCCGCAATGCCTCGATGTCCCGCCTCGGGCAGGAGGCAATTGTTCAATCCGAGCGCGGGATGGCAGCATAACCCAATGCTGAGCCCAACGCTCCGTCGTTGGGGTATTCCGTGCATTCTAACACTGACTTGCTCGAGACAGGCGCTCCTCTCCCCCTCATCCTGTTATCAGCTTCCTCCTCCTCCCTTCCGCATCCTCCCTCTTCTCCTCCTCCCGTTACCCGTCCCCTGCCTCCCCCCGTCGACCATCCCATCTGCCTCCTCCTCCTCCTCTTCCTCCTCCTCATGGTGCGCCACGCTCCACGCCGAACTGCTTCGGCGAGCATCTAGCCGCGACAGCCTCGAGGCGAGCACGGGAGGGGGTTAGACTCGTCCCATCGGGAGTCAGAGAAACAGAGGAAGCGGGAAACGAGACGGGCATAGTGCATTGGTGTTCGTCGAGTGGACGCGCTGATCTTTAACTTAAAAAAGGTACATCCTCATAGCCAAGGTTTTTTTCAAGTTGCGACTCAGCGCCTCCGCTCTACAAACGTCATATGCCGTGCCAGCTTCCTTCCCCTTTCCCTCATGTTCCCCGACTTTTAGGGCCTCGAAGCGGCCGTCCCCGAACCCAGCGCGAGGGCACTGAGCTCGAGGGGCGAGGTGCCACAGGTTGGCACTCGCAAACGAAACACGTGCTCACGGATCGAGGCGCTCCCACACGCCAGTCTTGGCGCCTTTGCGCCACTTGCCCTTGTTGTTCTGGACGTCGTCCGCCCAGTCCAGGGCCGTCGTGAAGGCCTCCTTGTACGCGGCAACGAACTCGGCGTCCGAGCCCTCGCGACCATCTGCTGGGAACTTCATCGGGAACGACGGGTTCCCGTGGCCAGCGAGCCTCGCCACGAGCCCGTGCCGAGTCGCGAGCCAGCCGTGGACCTTGGACGAGCGCGGCTCGTAGCGAATCGTCAGGGGGCCATCCCTGTAGAAGAGCTCCGCGCCGATGCGCACCAGCTCCTCGTGGCGCTCGGCAGCCAACTCCTTGGCGAATCAGGCGACGGGATCTATCCATATCCACTGCCCAGGCCTTGCCCTTCTGGGCCGAGGACTACGCCCTCCTGGCTTGGCCAGGGATGCCTATACGCCGCTTCTGGGCCCAGCATGGGCCAGGCCTAGGGCAGTGGATATGGACCGATTCCGTTGCCCATGGAGGGATCTAGATTCCTTGGCCACGCCGTGTGCTCAATTCCCAGGGGCCCGACGTCCAGTTTTCAAGGCGCACATCCATTCCCAAGCGAGCGCTACGTGAGCCACTACTGGACAACGTCCTGTGGTTTCACGTAGCGCTCGCTTGGAAATTGACGTGCGTCTTGACAACGTGATTTACTCCCTTCGCCCCGATCGCAGATCTAGATCTGGATCGGGCACTCGGGCAACATAGGGTC